TGGCTGGGGAATTCTGGGAGTTGGTCCACACATCTTCAAGTTGCCAACGTTGAGAAACGCTGGTTTAGAGCCTTAACTAAGGGAGAAATGCACTCCTGTGAGTCCTGTTGATGTGAGAGACAGGTGTGCAAAAGTGAACACACCTTTGAGGTGCATCTTCAACAGGGCTATTTTTCAGGTTCTCCTTTAGGGAAAAAATCAGCAAAAAACAGATGCCAAGCCCTCCAAACCTTCACGCCTCTATTTCACTTTATAAAAAGCTCACATCTGGTTCTGCGGAATGGCCCTACTCAGTTCTGCCATTCCGCCTCCAAGTGACATCACAATGTCACCCAAGCACCTGGTGCAAGCGACCATTGCATCACGCACCCCATGATGTCATGCGTGTGATGACATCAGGATGCACACGTTCTCATTCATTCCTACTTTTTCTTCCTCTATTTCCTGCGTTGTTATAAATCTTAGTAGACTGTGTTGCTTCTATGCATTGATGCTTGTCTATGTTTCAAAGTTATTAACATTCTTGATATCTAAATTTTCTTAATATCTAAATTAATATTTAGATAGCTTAGAATATTAAGAATAGAAAAGAGAAAGAAAAAATTATTCTATTAATATTTAGGGTGTCAGTATTACAAGCATGAAATTATTTGGCTTTTTCACCCAAAGTTGAGTATAACGTTGAAAAAGAATCACTACAGCTCACATCAAAATAACTGTTATAAAGTAGAGGTTTCGATCCTAAGCTGATTACTGTACTTATTAAAGTCTCCCTTGTATTGTTACCTAGTATGTACGTATGTCTGTCTCTGTCTGTCTATCTATCTATCTATTTATCTATCTATCTGTCTATCTATCACATATTAATAAAAAGAAAAAAGATAAACAGAGCAAATTTAACAAGAATTAATTACCAAAATAAAAATAAAAAAGAGAAACAGGAAAAGGGTAATAATAATGATGATGATGATAACATTAAGCACACTGAAGTCAAGAAGAAGGTTAGTAGTGAATACATCATGAGAGTGCAGAAGATCTTAAAGTCCAAACTCAGTGGAGGAAATACCATCAAGGCAGTTGACACCTGGGCAATTCCGGT